CAGGCAATCTTGTGCTGTGGTGAGTAGTTTGTGTTGATGGAGAATTTTGCAATAATTTTTCACAATCTCGATCAAGCACTAGCTTCAACCTGAGAGTGGATGTCTTCTCATGTGCATCCTTTTCCCTGAATGGTTTAAGCATTATAACTGTTTGGATACGTAGATATCCTAAAAGACACCTATTATGGAATTTGTTTGTCTTCATTTTATTCTTCTTACATTTTTTTTTTTATTTATTTATTTGTAAGCAGAAGGATTATTGTTATGCTCAGCAGAAATCTTTTTACTGAAGGGTAAATAGGGATTGCATAATCCCAGTCTCTAATCTTTCTTATTGATGCAGCCAACTCAATCGTACGTATTTTCAAGTCGGCATACTGTAGCAATTAGGATGCTGTTGTTGCATGGGTTTTCATTTTGGTGATTTGCATATAGCCACCTTTTTTATTTTTAGAATTAGTCATTTTCTGATGGCATATTGGATGATCAACAGATAATGACATCAAGGCTACATGATCTTTGACCTGGCATCCCTTTCGTTGTTCTCCATATATTTTAATTATGTGAAAGCATTTCATCATTTTAGCAAAAAGTTTTTTATAATTCTCATTATTTCTAGAGCTGGGAGAAAACCGTGGACTGCTACAGCCCTGGGCAGGGATTGATGCCAGCTAGTTTTAAAGTTAGAACAGCAGCTCTGGATGACAATAAGTTTGAAGAAGTTCTTGACCCAGATTTTGGGGAGTCAGCTATTGGTCGTGTAGCACCTGTTGATTCTGGTATGAGATTTCTTTTCTTCTGTCTTTTATTATTATTATTATTATTATTATTATTATTATTATTATTATTATTATTATTATTATNATTATTTGGTTATATAATTTGTCTGATGTTTTTAAATATCTTGAATTTATGTAGGGCTTTGGTGGATTATCTTGTTGCGGGCTTACGGAAAGCTTACTGGCGATTATGCATTACAGGACAGAGTCGATGTACAAACGGGAATAAAACTTATTGTGAACCTTTGTTTATCTGATGGTTTCGATATGTTTCCTTCTTTACTCGTCACTGATGGCTCGTGCATGATAGATAGGCGGATGGGTATCCATGGCCATCCCTTAGAGATTCAAGTAAGTTCGTAAACTGCCTTCCATTTATTTTATTTTATTTTATTCACATTTTCTTGGAAAGTCTACTGATTTGCAATTTTAAACACAACCCCACATAAAATCTCATGCAAGGCCTTTTTTTCTTCAAATTTGTTATGTTTATATTTTTTGCAGTCCTTATTTTACTCGGCTCTTCGTTGCTCGCGCGAGATGCTTGCATCGGATGACGGATCCAAGAATTTGGTGAGGACCATCAACAATAGACTTAGTGCTTTGTCTTTCCACATCAGAGAATACTATTGGGTGGACCTGAAGAAAATTAATGAAATTTATCGTTACAAGACTGAGGAGTACTCGACAGAAGCCACAAATAAGTTCAATATATACCCAGAGCAAATTCCTCATTGGCTGATGCACTGGATTCCTGAGAAAGGGGGTTACCTTATTGGAAACCTGCAGCCAGCTCACATGGATTTCAGGTTCTTCACGCTTGGGAATCTGTGGTCAATAGTATCTTCACTGGGTACTCCAAAACAGAATGAGGCCATATTGAATCTGATTGAGGCCAAATGGGATGATCTGATTGGCCAGATGCCTCTTAAAATATGTTACCCAGCTTTGGAGTCTGAAGAGTGGCGGATAATCACAGGGAGTGATCCCAAGAATACGTTAGTGCCGGAAAAAATTATTTTCCATTTTTTTCTTGACCTATATATCATGTATGCATAAAAAAATGTTAAATTGGCTGCGAAAAATTTGACTGGCAAAATCTGATTTTCTGAATATTGATGTACTTTTTCGCAGACCCTGGTCGTACCATAATGGTGGATCCTGGCCTACACTTTTGTGGCAGGTAACAGTAACTCTATTTTCGTATAAATTTTTTTTTTAAAACATGCATCATTTTATTTACCTAAAGAATTAACAGAACTTATGACAATGCTTAATGAAGTGATTGATTGTATGGAGTCATTTTGATTACGCCTAAAATCGTGAAAAATATTTGGGCGTGAATTGGATTCAACCGTGTTAGAATTTATTAAAATATTGGCTATGACTTCAGTTCACATTGGCGTGCATGAAAATGGGCCGCATGGATTTGGCCAAGAAAGCAATTGATGATGCGGAGAAAAGACTTTCCATTGACCGGTGGCCCGAATATTATGACACAATGAATGGTAAGTTCATAGGGAAACAGGCTCGACTTTACCAGACATGGTCGATTGCTGGTTATTTAACGTCGAAGCTGCTGTTGGAGAACCCGAACATGGCTTCCCTTTTATTCTGGGAAGAAGACTATGATCTTCTCGAGATCTGTGTTTGTGCTCTGAATAACTCCACACGTAAGAAGTGCTCTCGCTCGCTCGCCAAGTCTCAGATTCTGGTGTGAAATTAAAAAAAAAATATATATATATATATCAAATGTATATATTTTTGTAAAGATGATGTGAAAGTTTAGTAGTCTTTGTTTGTTATTCTTACAGTGGTGGTGTCCTACAGTTTCACCCATAGGATAACATATTTGAGGCCTTCTACTTTTTTTTTTCCCAGGATGGCCTGTGTGTGTGTGTGTGTGTGTGTGTGTGTGTGTGTGATAGATTTCCAGATTGTTGTAAACTTTTAATAGCTGGAGCAGCAAAAGGTAACTAAGCAGTTTTTTTTGTGTTGCACGTTATTAGTTGTGGTTAAAATTAGCCTAAATTTTGCGCTGTTTCACTTGTAAAAAATGTGTATAATGATTAATTGAGTTCCTTTTTGAGTTTTCGTTTCTTTCCCTTTTGGTCATTTTAACACTTAATTTGCAATTGTTTATTAATTGTCTTATGCGTCATATTTATTAATCAGGGCATTTGGAAACATGCTGATGAACGAAGAAATTTATATTTTGCTACAGCTTATATAATATGATAATTAGTTAAATTAACTAAATGTGTGTGCAATGAATATGTTTATATTTCAAACGAAGGATTCTGTGTGCAATAGTGTTCTGTTTTTTATGTAAAAAAATGAGGGGGACCAAATACCAAAGCACATATTTTACTCCCCATATGTTTCGAACATTTTTTCTTTTAAATCATTAAAATTTACGGTCAACCAAAATTAGACTAATCAATTTATGCAAAATAGTCACTTTCTACTCGATCCCTGATAATAAAAATTATTATAAGCCAATGTTCTGGTCATGTCACCTAGAAAAATAAACCCAATCATAAGAACCATCCCAACAAATAAACCCAGCTACTTCCGCCACCGCCTTCTGAACTCCGGCCGCCGGGCCCTCTCCACCTCGCCCTTCTCCGCCAAACCCCCTTCGGTCCTCGCCACTGACGTCATTAAGTCTTATTTCCAGGCGGGCCTGGTCAACGAAGCCCGTAAGCTGTTCGATGAAATGCCTGAGAGGGACGTTGTGGCCTGGTCGGCCGTGATCGGTGGCTACGCCTCCTGCAACCTTCACACGCATGCCTGGCTCATGTTCCGCGAGATGCTCAGGGATGACGGGGCGGGCGAGGTGAGCCCCAACGAGTTCACTTTCTCAAGCGTGCTCAAGGCCTGCAAGGGCATGGGCTCGCTTTCCTCTGGGGCCTCAGCGCATGGGCTGGCAGTCAGGCATGGCGTGCTTGGGAGCATTTATGTGGCCAACACGCTATTGGACATGTACGCCGCCTGCTGCTGCTGCATGGGCCCGGCCCATGCAGTTTTTGAGGAGATTGAGGTTAAGAACTCGGTTTCGTGGACTTCTTTGATCACGGGCTATACGCATAAGGGGGACGGCCATGGCGGGCTAAAGGTTTTTCGACAGATGTTAGTGGTGAGTGATGAAAACTTTACTTGTTCTGCAAACATTTCACTGTAAAGGTAAACATTCTTTTAACAAGTATGACTATCAGGGTCCATTACAATGAAGTGATGATATTCCAACAGAAGAATCCTACTAGATTTCAATGGAATTTCCAATGTTATAACTGTTAGTGACAAAATTTCAACAGAATTCCAATGGAAAGCAGAACAAAATTACTCCATATGAATTAATTTTTCGTTGGAGATTCGGTTGGAATTGGATTTCAACCTGCGTATCCACTGTTGACCTGTCAGCCTAACTGACTACAATTAATGTGTAATCATTAAATTCAAGGGCTGCATTCAAACGAGGAGCAACTTTAGTCAATAACCACATTTTTTGATCAATTCTAGCTAATAACCACATTTTTTAGCTTTTCAATCTTTATTCATACTTACCTCAAACTCATCTATTAACCGAAAAAACAGGAGGAGGCTGAACTGAACCCATTCAACGTCTCCATCGCTATCCGAGCCTGTGCCTCGGTCGGCTCCCAACCCTACGGTCAGCAAATACACGCCACCGTACTCAAGAGCGGCTTCGAATCCAACATCCCCATCATGAACTCCATCCTCGACATGTACTTCCGTTGCGCGGGCCCACCCGACGCCACCCGCTTCTTCCACACTATAAAAGAACGAGACATAATCACTTGGAACACGATGATCGCGGGCCACGAGAAGCCCGACCCTCACTCGGCCCTCACCCTCTACTCGACCCTACTCTCCCTCAATTCCCCTTCCCCCAACTCCTTCACCCTCACCTCCGCAATATCCGCCGCCGCCAGCCTGGCGTCCCTTCCCGCCGGGCAGCAGCTCCACGGAGGCGCCATCAGGACGGGCCTAACGTCAGACCTCGGCGTCGCCAACTCGCTGATCGACATGTACGCAAAGTGCGGGAGCATCTCGGGCGCGCGCGCGGTCTTCGACGGCATGATGCCGGAGGAGAAGAGCGTGGTGACGTGGACGTCGATGATGATCGGGCACGGGAGCCACGGGCAAGGGCGGGAGGCCGTGGAGCTTTTTCGGGAGATGGTGCGGGCCGGGGTGCGGCCGGACAGGGTGGTGTTTGTGGCGGTGATCAACGCGTGCAGCCACGCAGGGCTCGTGGATGAGGGTTTGTCGATGTTTGAGTCGATGGGGAGAGAGTATGGAGTGAGT